ATACTATGTTTATAGCACTGTTTGCATCGCAGAATGAAGTCGTTCTAACGATAAATCTTTATTTTCCAGGTTCGATTTTATTGGAAAAATTGTGCCGATTTCTTTGGATACGATTGCATGGTGCTACGCTGTTCAACGCTTTGAAAAGGTAATTGAAAATCTGTATAATGTAATCATTAGACTGCGGATTTTATGCATTCACGAGAAAAGTGAGTAGACGGAATACGAAACGGCAAATGCGAAGGATAGATTGTGCAATGCTGTTCGATTATCTTCGCCTTATTAAACACGTTAGGAACGAAAATTAATTTTCATTTCACTGCTGTTTGTTTGTATATAGTATATGTTTGTTGCAAGCCGAGGTAGAGAATTTTTAATTTACTATTACCGCCGCGTAATCTGCTTATGATAGCGCAGAGATTCGTGCAAATTCTCATTTCCGTGGATTATTTTATAAAAGTAACTTGGAAAAAAAATGTATTCTCCGCGCGTTACGATCCTGCTGTTTAATCGCCAAAAACGGTCGCATCTTTGCCGATTCTTGGAGCACATTCATTTTCAAGTAAATTTCTTGGGTTCCTTGTATCGATGATATAGGCATCGATGGAAGTTACTTCTAGAAGCTGAGATTGTTTATGGCTCACTTCGTTACAATAGAATCGAAAAGTTTAATGAATATATTGCGGATCTTCGTTCATTCACGACATTGTAAATTATTTAAAATAATAGAAAACAGGTATGTTAATAAAAATGAAGAGCACTTTTCTATATTAGAATCACAGACACTTCTTCACTGGTTTCGTAAGACTGATAAACTAGCATAAGCTGAACTTTTTCATATTGATCTCCGAGTGACCAGAACAGTGTTGTGGAACTTTTCTGGAAATTCTGGACCTTTTCTGGAACTTTTCTGAAATCTTCCTGGAACATTTCTGGAACTTGTCTGGAGCCTTTCTGGAACTTTTCTGGAATCTTTCTCGAACTTTTCTGGAATCTTTCTGGAACTTTTCTGGAACTATTCTGGACCTTTTTTTGAACTTTTCTGGAACCTTTCTGGAACCTTTCTGGATCTTTCCTGGAACCTTTTTGCAATTTTTCTGGAACTTTTCTAAAACCTTTCTATAACTTTCCTGGAACCTTTCTGGAACTTTTCTAAAACCTTTCTATAACCTTCCTGGAACCTTTCTGGAACTTTTCTGCAACCTTTCTGTAACTTTCCTGGAACCTTTCTGTAACTTTTCTGCAACCTTTCTGTAACTTCTGTAACTTCTAGAACAATGGTGATCGTGCTCCAATTCCCGAAGCCTCGGAAAGTCAATCGTCCATAAAAATGGAGTCTCATTTCTCTTCCCCGATAGGTTTCACAGCGGGCATCTAACGTGGCCGCCGACGAAGGCCCGCGGCGCGATTTTTTTCGTCCGACGTGCGGCCGCGCGCCGGTTTGTTCCCGCAGCATTTTCCGGCGAAAATAATTAACGCGGCTAATTAATTACCACGCGCCGAGATGGTTTCGCTTGTAGACGATTAACCGTCGAATTTCTTGGTACGCGGGGCTACCCATCAATTTCCGAGCGGCTGATAATATCGGTCGCATCGATGTATCGGCGTAGCATGCCTTGATCTCATTAGCGACCTGAACGTGCCCCGGTTAACGTTTATCAGCGGACAGGCGCAACAATAACCGAACCCGAGTCTCTATCATCGCGGAACCGAGCCGGGGCTAAGTCCAATTTATAATGGGCCCCGACGCAGCCGGCTATCTTTAATTTAAACCGTCGGAAATTACGGCTCCGCGTGATTTAAATTTCCCTGATTAGAGTCAACGTGAAACCGCCATTATGCTCGCGCGGATCGCGCGTCGACCGTGATTCACGGATAATTGAAAGTATCGACGGCTTCCAATCTCCTTTAATCTCCCCGTTAATTATTGTTCTGTTTTTGTCGGAGAGAACGCCGCGGAGCCGTGGAATGTCGTTCCGAACGACGGTGTCCGATAACTTTTTTAATATCGGGAACGACCTTTTCATTGAGACGCGCGAACAATTAAATCGCGTTGAAACGAGACGCTGTTCGAGATGTTGGAACAATTGAATCTCTAGACCCTTTTACGATTTTCATTATAATATCTCGCAGTTGATTGGAAAATTTTTCAAATCGAATTTTGCAAGCGGCAGAAATTAAAGGATCAAATTTAAAAATTAATAATAATTATAATAGTTAAAAATTAACCCCTTAACGCGCAGAAACGTATTAACACGGGCGTGCAAAACCGGCCAAAATGTGCAGACCCGTATACATACGGTCGGCGTCGCAACTTATGTTATGTTACCTATATTAATTGAAAAACAGTACGATGGGTACAAAATTCGATCTGCAATGCGATTCAATATTCACTATAATTATTTATCCACTATTTTTATTGAATTTTTAGTAATTTTTGCATTTTTTTTACATATTTATTGAAATTAAGGTCCAAATATGTATTTTCTTCGATAAAAAAAATTGATTTTTTTTGGTCGGTTTTTTTTTTTAAATTGTGCATTAAGGGGTTAAAAATTAATAACAATTAAAAAATTAAAAAAAAATGAAAGGATAAAAGCGGCAGAAATTAAAGGATCTTGGAATCTGTGAGTTTAGCATAGCTTGTAAAATTTATAAAATATTTGTCCGGTTTTTGTCGCAGGCCTCCGGACGTTTTCCTGCTTGATTCCGGCCGATTTTCTGCGCGATCCCGGAAAGAGCGTTCCGTTTCGAAGCATCGTGCACGAAAACGATCGAACCGATTCTCTCGTCCGATTGCAAAAATCCGCCTGATTCATGATTCGGTGATAAAAAAAAAAGAAAGAGCAGTTCGACGTTGTCTCTGTATATATCTGTGTCGCGCGACGCCCCTTGTCTTGTTTATTAGTCGGATAAAAATGTCGTATAATTCATCGTTAAAATAACACGCGCGCACAATGAGTCAACGGAGAGTAATGACGGCGTGATTTACGAACGCGATCCCGTCGCGTCGTTTGATCGTCGCTTCTTGCGCGTCTAACACCGTCGAGGAACTCTCTGCCGCGAAAATTATGGTGCCGGCGCGCATTTTTATACGCGAGACCGCGGCAATTTTCAAGTTCGACGGGAATGATATATGTATCGCGAATGTAAAAACCAAGGCGAGCCGAGCCAAATGAAACACGGGATTCCGCTGTTTTACGAGGCGAAGCCGGTCGAATGAATTTCCCAGCGCGTTGTTATTTAAAGCCGTAACGCAAAACAACGATATCCCGGGAATCTACGGCTTTGTCAAGTGTCTCGCATGCTTTATAAAAGGGCCCGCGTCGCCTTTAACCCTTTTCAATCGGACGTCCATTCTTGGGAAATGCTATCGATAACAGTGGTACAGTAATGTCTCCCTAACTGACGCTTAGATTGCGCGCAAAAATGGACAATTTGGGAGGAAGAGACACGATTATTCGAGTCTTGCGTCTCGTTTTTATAATTGTTGAAAATCGGTAATTATAAAAACGAGGTGCAAGACTCAAATGAATCGTATCTCCTCTTCCCAAATTGTCCATTCTTCCTCACAATCAGAGCGTCAATTAGAGAAACATTACTGTACTTCCAAAATTATGCTGCTACTACTACAGCATAAGTATGCGTTGTTATAATCGCGGTGCTTTTAAAAATTAATGATATTTGTTTCATTACATCTGTGTCGCTGCAAGCTTTTTTAGCCGATGCTATAATAATTACCGCGTTTAAATAGAATTGGGTAAGAATTGCGGCGACGCACGTTTTATGCTTCAAATCTTCACAATATTTGTTCCATAAAGTCTGTGTCGCTGCAAGCTTTTTTAGCCGATGCTATAATAATTACCGCGTTTAAATAGAATTGGGTAAGAATTGCGGCGACGCACGTTTTATGCTTCAAATCTTCACAATATTTGTTCCATAAAGTCTGTGTCGCTGCAAGCTTTTTTAGCCGATGCTATAATAATTACCGCGTTTAAATAGAATTGGGTAAGAATTGCGGCGACGCACGTTTTATGCTTCAAATCTTCACAATATTTGTTCCATAAAGTCTGTGTCGCTGCAAGCTTTTTTAGCCGATGCTATAATAATTACCGCGTTTAAATAGAATTGGGTAAGAATTGCGGCGACGCACGTTTTATGCTTCAAATCTTCACAATATTTGTTCCATAAAGTCTGTGTCGCTGCAAGCTTTTTTAGCCGATGCTATAATAATTACCGCGTTTAAATAGAATTGGGTAAGAATTGCGGCGACGCACGTTTTATGCTTCAAATCTTCACAATATTTGTTCCATAAAGTCTGTGTCGCTGCAAGCTTTTTTAGCCGATGCTATAATAATTACCGCGTTTAAATAGAATTGGGTAAGAATTGCGGCGACGCACGTTTTATGCTTCAAATCTTCACAATATTTGTTCCATAAAGTCTGTGTCGCTGCAAGCTTTTTTAGCCGATGCTATAATAATTACCGCGTTTAAATAGAATTGGGTAAGAATTGCGGCGACGCACGTTTTATGCTTCAAATCTTCACAATATTTGTTCCATAAAGTCTGTGTCGCTGCAAGCTTTTTTAGCCGATGCTATAATAATTACCGCGTTTAAATAGAATTGGGTAAGAATTGCGGCGACGCACGTTTTATGCTTCAAATCTTCACAATATTTGTTCCATAAAGTCTGTGTCGCTGCAAGCTTTTTTAGCCGATGCTATAATAATTACCGCGTTTAAATAGAATTGGGTAAGAATTGCGGCGACGCACGTTTTATGCTTCAAATCTTCACAATATTTGTTCCATAAAGTCTGTGTCGCTGCAAGCTTTTTTAGCCGATGCTATAATAATTACCGCGTTTAAATAGAATTGGATAAGAATTGCGGCGACGCACGTTTTATGCTTCAAATATTCACAATATTTGTTCCATAGAATCTGCGTCGCTGCAATTGTTTTTAGCCGATGCTATAATAATTACCGCGTTTAAATAGAATTGCATAAGTATTGCAGCAACACAGATCTTATGCTTCAAATATTCACAATATTTGTTCCATAAAATCTGCGTCGCTGCAATTGTTTTTAGCCGATGCTATAATAATTACCGCGTTTAAATAGAATTGGATAAGAATTGCGGCGACGCACGTT